CCTCTTTCCTTTTAATATATTTTATCAGTCTATTACTCTCTCCCAACCCAGGTTCAGGTTTTGTAAGCTAATTTAACTATTAGTGAACAAACTTGTAACAATACCCAGCTATATTATTTGGCCAATAGAATTCAAAATCTGTGTGTAATGAAAAAATTCTAATCATCTGATAGCGATAATGATAAAAGTAATTTACATTTATATTTTTTTTGAACGTTATAAAGCTAACGACTTATAAATAATTCTTCAAATAGATTATCGGCCTCCTGCTCTCGTTACCTATCGGATTGGATTATTGAAGCGGAATCTTGTGGATTGTGAGCTATTCGATTTTTCTTTCAAAGATCTTTTAATTGTTTATCAATAAACTGAAATTCTGTTATTTCGGTCGTTGAAAGTCGCATTTTAGATTGTTGAGTTTCAGCAGTCATATTAGGGTGGAATTTCAAATCCCACTTATTAAATAGGTCCTCAACTTGCTGCTGGTAATGATACCTGACGAAACTATTTTCATGATGACGAAACATTTCGTCACGTCATTCATCAGACGAAACCCATAACGATTGATGAAACCCATGACGATTGACGAAACACATGACGAATGGCGAAACCCATGACGAATGGCGAAACACATGACGAATGGCGAAATCCACGACAAATTACAAAACCCGTGATGAATGACAAAAAATAACAAAACTTATGACAAGTGACAAAATCCATAATAATTAACAAGTCTAACAATTAAATGAAACAAAAGCTTTTAACGAATCAAATAATAACTTGTTTATTTATTTACACGACGTGGCTTTCGAAGAGCTATTGGTAACGTTATTTTTTCTACAATTCTCAAATCTATATTATTATAATCATTACTAATAATAATATTATTATTATCATTATTATTATTATTATTATCATCATCATTATTACCATTATTATTATCATCATCATTATTCACGTTGTTATTATTATTATTATTACCATTATTTTCATTATCACTATTATTTTCATTATCATTATTATTATTATCACTAATATTATTATTATCATTATAATTACTTTCATTTTCATTTTCCCATTCCCTTACTAAATCTGTCACTAAATCTTCAGGATTAAAATCAAATATATCTTGTCCTTTTTTACTTCTAATAATAAATTCTTCATCATCAATTTCTTCTTCACTATCAGTCTGTGATTCTTCACTATTAATATCAGATTCTTCATTTCGAAATGTTTTATCATTTAAATGTACCACATTTTCAATATCTAATTGATTAATAACTTCTAAATGTTCTGATAAATTAATATCATCCATTTCTAATTCAGCATCTTCTATATCTTCCATAGTATCTTCAAAAAGAAATGTTGCTGATGTTACTAATTTTCGTAAATTATTAGGTGATGACTCTTGACCAAAAAAAGTTAACTCATTTTTTATATTTGAAATATAAAAAGATCGAATTTGTGCCATGGCTTGAATCCGAAATAAAGAAAGTCATTGTCGTTGTTTTCCATATAGCCAACCTAAGGCTGAAAATGTTCTTTCACAATCAACAGAATGAGGTGTAATTGAAAAAATTTTAATAGCTAATTTGCCAATAGATTTTCCACCAGTAGAATTCGTCATCTACCATAACAAAGGAGTATCATTTTTGAAACAATATGGCAAATCGAATCCAGTTTTTTTTTCTCGAAATGCTCGCATATAAGCTACAAGATTTGCGCATTCATATTGATCATGTCCTTCTTGTTGCCATATTTTAATTGCACTTTTTGCAATAATTTGAAATTGTTGTTCATGTAAACCAATATCTAAATAATTATAACAATTAATATAATTATAAATATTCAAAAAATTTATAAAAAATAGATTAATAACTTTAT